AAAGAGAAATGGGGCAACATTTTGTGGACTGATGGAAGTAAGATTGTTCTTTTTGGGTCTAGTGGGCGGAGACAGTTTGTCAGACGACCCCCAAACACTGAATTTAAGCCACAGTACACTGTGAAGACAGTGAAGCATGGTGGTGCAAGCATCACGATATGGGGATGTTTCTCATACTATGGTGTTGGGCCTATTTATCGCATACCAGGGATCATGGATCAGTTTGAAGACATCAGAATACTTGAAGAGGTCATGCTGCCTTATGCTGAAGAGGAAATGCCCTTGAAATGGGTGTTCCAACAAGACAACGACCCCAAACACACCAGTAAACGTGCAACATCTTGGTTCCAGACCAACAAGATGGACGTTATGGAGTGGCCAGCCCAATCCCCGGATCTTCATCCAATAGAAAACTTGTGGGGTGACATCAAAAATGCCGTTTCTGAGGCAAAACCAAGAAATAGAGAAGAACTGTGGAATGTGGTCCAATCATCCTGGGCTGGAATACCTGATCACAGGGGCCAGAAGTTGGGGGACTCCATGCAACACAGATGTACAGCAGTTCTCAGAAACAGTGCGACTACAACCAAATATTCATGAAGTCATTCAAAGGAAAGCAAAATCTTCAAACATTTCTCAGTTTATATAGTGAATGTTTTTGAGTTTGTAAAGAAGAATACAAACACGGCCATTTTTTTGAACCGTCTAATATTCACTTTTCTTCACATTTGTTTAGAGGAACAACACAAATTTGATTTGTATTTTTCTTCATGTTTTGATTTGGAATAGAATGTGTCGTGTTCCCAATGCATTTGTGTGGATGGAAATAAAAGCTATTAGAAGGATTTTCAGCTTTATTCACTTTATTCAACACACTGCTATTATTTTGAACAAAACTGTATAAAGGGGTTCTATTTTATCATATCATATTCCATGCTTCTATACATAGGTATTGTAAATATTCTTACCCCAATCAATGAGTAGGTACCTAAAATGAATTAAAAGAATAAAGTCACAATAAGGGACAAAGAAAATTGTGAAGAAATTATCGCAACCGAAAACAAAGACAACTTACTTAGTATGATCTTTCTGATCTTCTCTATTTTTCCTCCAAAAGAAGCTAAAACAAATGTAAGGCATAAGACATATAAGACACATAAAAAAGACATCAGCAAAGGCAGAGATGTTTGCATCACGGGAACAACTTTTAGCTTGAGATGGGAGAACATGTATAACCACTTCAGATTCACAAGATTTTACCCCCTCCCATGACCAGGCTATTTTTTGCTATTTAGCACTGTGCTACTTTAACCACTTGCCCTCCTGGAGGATTATCCCCCCCCCCCCCCCCCCTCCTGACTAGGCCATTTTTTAATGTTGCGCTGCATTACTGTAGCTGACAATTGAACGGTCATGCAAGGCTGCACCCAAATGAAATGTGTGTCCTTATATCCCACAAATAGAGCTTTCTTTCGGTGGTATTTGATCGCCTGTGCGGTTTTTATTTTTTGAGCTATAAAAAAAATGACTGACAATTTTGAGAAAAAAACTGTATTTTGGGCTATTTGCTATTAAACATGTCCAGTAAAAAAAATTAAAAAAAAACAAATTTCATCATAAATTTAGGCCAAAATGTATTCTGCTCCGTGTCTTTGCTAAAAAAAATCCCAATACGGGTAAATTAATTGATTTATGTGAAAGTTATAGCGTTTACAAATGGCAGTATAGATCCTGGGATTTATTTTTCTACTAGTAATGGCAGCGATCAGCGACTTTTAGAAGGACTGCGGGCAACATTATGACACTGGGGGGGAAGCTAACTTGGTGTCATTGACATCCCCAGTGACACCAATTCAGTAATCAGTGCTAAAAGGAAGCACTGACACTGTACTAATGGCACTGGGCAGGAAGGGGTTAACATGAGAGGTGATCAAAGGGTTAACTATATGTAGGGTGTGTTTTACTAGGGGGCGGGGGGGTGCTTCACTTTGATTGGGATGGCTGTGCTGTGCAGTGTGCCCGAGCTGACAGGGAGGAAGAGTGTTTGTAAATCAGAGATGCTCGGTAATCACTGGGTGCCGGAGTGTAATTGCCCCGGTGATTGGAAGCCATGACCGTGAATGGTGGCGCGGGTAGGGCGCGCACCCCCTACCCAGAAATGCAAAATCACGTATATATACACATTTTTGTGCACCCGTGCCGCCTTTAGCAATATTTCTGCAACAGGGCGGTCAGGAAGCGGTTAACTGGCAATTGCTCAGATATGCAACACTGTATCCAAACAAAGATTATATCTTTTTTTTCACACAAATAGAACTTTCTTTTGGTGGTATTTGATCTCCATTGGGGTTTCTATTATATAAATTAAAAAGACGTAAAAAGTTTGGAAAAAAAATATTTTTTACTTTCTGCTACAAAAATTTCCAAAAACAATAAATGAATCATTAAATTGTTGAGTCTTCATGTATAATCCAGGATGATCAGATGTTTTAGAACTTATCAATGTGATCTCTATCCAATGCTATAAGTTGTGTATACAGAGAACCCCCGTGGGGCTTTAATGCAGCAATAGGATCATACATATATTGAAAAAGACATTTGCTTAAAAAAGATTATCAACTTTATTACATACACATTTCCATTGTAATGTTACATACATGATATCTAATTGTTTGCATAATATTTGGATCTTTCAGTCTTTCATGCCACTTTGGTCTTTGTTCAGTGGGATTTGACATACTTCCATTCCTTGGAGAAATGATTATCTCGAATTTACCACTTTTTCCTTGAGTTGTTACATCCATTACCGAGTGAGATTCGAAATGTTCCATACATTGGCCTGCTTAAGACACGGTCAGTTCCATCTCTTGATATATCTCTTTATGGACTATTCTTGAATGCATATTCTTTTATTACGTAAATCCTTTTGGTCTGATTTGGAATTTAATATTTTGTCTTTCATACCATCTTTAGTCCCATTGGGGGGATGTTCTGGTGCCCCTTTGTCAGTCCTTGTCTGGTGACTTACATCTGACCACTCTTGCCCCCTTGGATGATGCACCCCACCGGAGCATGGTGTCCAGCCTCCCATCCTTGAAGTCATCCTTTCTTTTGCTCTCACATATGCTTTTGTAAGTAAAAAATTCTTTGGTTATGTGAAAACATTTTTTGGGTTATCTGTTTATTTATTTTTGATATATTCATTTATGATTGTTTATATATTTATTAGAAAGTCCTTTGTCTTTCATGCCCTGAGGAAGATCTAGAATATGGAATGATCGAAATGCGTCAGTTTTCCTTTCTTTTTGTGTGGGTTCATATTTTTGTATTAAGAGTTTTCTTGTAAGAATACTGTCAGAGCAATATTCTTTTTTAGAAATCATGTATTTAACATTACAATGGAAATATGTATGTAATGAAGTTTATAATCTTTTTTAAGCAAATGTCTTTTTCAATATATGTATGATCCTATTGCTGCATTAAAGCCCCACCGGGGGTTCTTTGGGTACATGCATTCATATAGGGACGAGCAGCCAGATACTCGATCCTTTTGGTTAAGTTATGATTTGTTTCCTGCAATTGTTTCATGAAGTCCTCCCATTCTGATTATTGAAGGACATGTGTAGAATTCCAGTGTCTGGGAATTATTTTTCTGGGGAAAAAGAGAAAAAATTGCTAAGCTGGTCATACACACGTAGATGGACCCATCACATAGACTGCATTCATAGAGGAACATTCCACAGAAGAGCATTCAGATGTCACTATGTGAGGGTCAGTCTTTCCAGCAGCCTACCAATGATGCCAGAAGAGAAAGGAAAAGACAACTGTAATTAAGGTATGTACACTGCAAGTTTATATAGTCTGGGGGAGGGGCTGCAAGAGGGAGGTAGAGCTGGAGTTGGACTTTAATGGGATAATATTATCTCTGTTTTAGGAACTTTGCTTCCCATTTATATGTATCCAGAATGCATTTCCACTTATAGGATCCAAAGTGCTGCTTCTTAGTTCACTTCTGTGTTGCATAGAGAAGACATGGGTTCAAAGATATAGTGGGCTCCCTGTACCAGGGCTATCTTAATGAATAAGCACTCCTGGGCACTGTCCAGGGGCCCCAGGGGCATGGAGACCCCATCATAATCTTAGATTACAACATACTTGCCAACTGTCCCAGACTAGCTGGGATAGTTAGTGTTTTCTAAGTTGTCTCAGGATGGCCCGAACAGCATTCCAGAACCTTTACTGTGCCCTCCTGATCCCAGTATTGTGCCCTCCTGACTCCCCCTGTATTGCGCCCTCCTGATCCCAGTATTGTGCCCTCCTGACTCCCCTGTACTGTGCCCTCCTCACTTCCCCCTGTACTGTGCCCTCCTCCTGATCCCAGTATTGTGTCCTCCTGACTCCCCTGTACTGTATCCTCCTGATCCCAGTATTGTGCCCTCCTGATCCCAGTATTGTGCCCTCCTGATCCCAGTATTGTGCCCTCCTGACTCCCCCTGTACTGTATCCTCCTGATCCCAGTATTGTGCCCTCCTGATCCCAGTATTGTGCCCTCCTGACTCCCCCTGTACTGTGCCCTCCTGATCCCAGTATTGTGCCCCTGACTCCCCCTGTACTGTGCCCTCCTGATCCCAGTATTGTGACTCCCCCTCTCCTGACTCCCCCTGTATTGTGCCCCTCCTGATCCCCTGAGTACTGTGCCCTCCTGATCCCAGTATTGCCCTCCTGATCCCTATTGTGCCTCCTGACTCCCCCTGTACTATGCCTTCCTGATCCCAGTACTGTGCCCTCCTGATCCCAGTATTGTGCTCTTCTGATCCTAGTATTGTGCCCTCCTGACTCCCCCTGTACCGTGCCCTCCTGATCCCAGTATTGTGCCCTCCGGACTCCCCCTGTATTGTGCCCTCCTGATCCTAGTATTGTGCCCTCCTGACTCCCCCTGTACCGTGCCCTCCTGATCCCAGTATTGTGCCCTCCTGACTCCCCCTGTTCTGTGTGCCCTCCTGACTCCCCCTGTACCGTGCCCTCCTGATCCCAGTATTGTGCCCTCCTGACTCCCCCTGTATTGTGCCCTCCTGATCCCAGTATTGTGCCCTCCAGACTCCCCCTGTACTGTGCCCTCCTGACTCCCCCTGTACTGTGCCCTCCTGTTCCCCCTAGTACTGTGCCCTCCTGTTCCTAGACTGTGCCCTCCTGGCTTACCCTGTTCTGTGACCTCCTGATCCCAGTATTGTGATCTCCAGCCTTCCTCTGTACTGTGCCCTCCTGATCCCAGTATTGTGCCCTCCTGACTCCCCCTGTACTGTGCCCTCCTGATCCCAGTATTTTGCCCTCCTGATCCCAGTATTGTGCCCTCCTGACTCCCCCTGTACTCCCCCTGATACTGTGCCCTCCTGACTCCCCCTGTACTGTGCCCTCCTGACTCCCCCTGTACTGTGTCCTTCTGCCCATCCCATGCTGTGCACTTTGTGTTGATTAGTCTTTGATTTATGGCATGCTTTCTTATTGTTTAAAATGAATTTTATTGAAAGTACTAATAAATATATGTTTGATTCTATCATCTGTTTATACTTTAATTCTTGAGAGTTGGTGCATAAATTGGGGCAGGCTGGTAGGGGCCCCAGTGCATTACTTTGTCCGGGGGCCCTTGATGCTATTGAGACGGCCCTTCCCTTTACCAGTAGAAACTTCAGTCAACTAACAAGGAATAGGGACCTCACGTTTAAGGCAGATGAGTGTTATGGGCCTGAAATCCCACCCCATGTGCAGTAAGCAGCCTTACAAGCAAATACAGGTGTACGAACGCCTCGGTTAACGTACTTTTCAGTTTACGAATGAAAATCCATTGAAAATAATTCCTCGATTTACACATTTTTTATGAATTTGTTTTCGCAATACGAAGTGTATGTCGGTGACGGTTTTTAAATGCAATTGCTGGCTTTTTTTTTCTTCACTATAGCTCACAAAATTAGCTGTCACTTTCCCTGGAGCTAAAGGAAACTTTGTTTCTTTTAACAATAAACTAAAAGGAAACATTCTCTCTTTTAGCTGGGGGGAAAGTGACAGCTGATTCTCTGAGCTATAGTGAAGAGAAAAAAAAGAGGTAATTACATTTAAAAACCGGCACTGACCTATAGGGGTTTATTTACTAGAGCTAGAGAGTGAAAAATCCGGCTCACTTCTGCATAGAAACCAATCAGCTTCCAGGTTTTATTGCCAAGGCTTAATTGAGCAAGCTGAGGTTAGAAGCTGATTGGTTTCTATGTAGAGGTGAACAGGATTTTGCACTCTCTAGCTTTAGTAAATAAACCCCATAGTGACAGCGACTTTTTTTAAACTTTTTTCTGACCTCCAGAACGGAGTCATTGGTTTTCGACGCATTCCTATGGGAAACCGTGTTTCAGTTTATGAATTTTTCGCAATACGAAACATCCCGGAGATTGCATTAAATTCGTTAACCGAGGTACACCTGTACTTCCTTTTTAGGTACCAAAGTGGGTGAAGATTCCTTCTGGACACCGTAGGCTCAATTCACAACACTAATGCTGAACTGCAGAAATTCAGCCACTTTGTGAAATGTGCAGGCATACCATGAGTCAAGTCCAATGAGGTGCATGCCACTTCGTGGACATATCTCTTTAATTTAAAATCAATATTTTTATTGAGCACTGGGGGCTTTGCTGTTTTACAACTTGGGTGAATTCCAGTTCAGCTTAACACAAGGGGAAAGATCTTGATTTTCAGCCATTTGACTGTAATTTTTAAATCTCGTTGGCTGAAAATAATTGTCACTTTAATTTTAAAGTAAGCATCCTTATTCTAGTTATTAATCGAGCCTTATACTGTATAGCGAAGAGTCCGTGGTCACCTGACCATCACAGCTATATGAGCTTGTTGCTCATCCCATTCCTAAACCATGGACATTCATTAATACAACCAGTTACCAACTGCGTACTGTAGCTTTACTGCTACAGTGTGGGCTGGCTGTGCAAAATCACGTATATTTACGTGATTTAGCTTGTCTGGGGGTGGGGGGGGCACTTGTGCCCAATTCCCGTGCTCTTATTGGCTCCCTGACATGTTGATCAGCCAATCCCAGACAGTGTTTCATGACTGGGACCCGCCGATCGTTGGAGCTAGAGACAGGAGAGAGATCTGTGTTGGTAAACAACACAGATCTCTCTGCTGACAACAGGGATATGACAGTTTTTGTCTTCCTGCTTTGCAGGGAGGCAACAACTGTCACATCCCTTAGTACAGGGGTCCTCAAACTTTTTAAACAGGGGGCCAGTTCACTGTCCCTCAGACCGTTGGAGGGCCGGACTATAGTTTAAAAAAAAAAAAAAAAACTATGAACAAATGCGGACACACAGTACAGGAGATGACCGGAGACCAGAGACTGCGGACACATACAACGGCGGCGGGGGAATAGTACAGGGATGACCAGGCCGCTCCATAAGAGATGCACAGACATTTCCCCCAAATGTGTCTTACGGAGGCGGGAATAGTGCCCCATCATTGGTGTCCCCCCAAGGGAGGAAATAGTGCCCCATCATTGGTGTCAGTGGAGGAATAGTGCCCCATCATTGGTGTCAGTGGGAAGAAACGTGCCCCATCATTGGTGTCAGTGGGGGAAGGGGATAGTGTCCCATCATTGGTGTCAGTGGGAAGAATAGTGCCCCATCTTTGGTGTCAGTGGGAGGAATAGCACGTCATTGGTGTCAGTGGAGGGGAATAGTGTCCCAACATTGGTGTCAGTGGGAGGAATAGTGTTCCATCGTTGGTGTCAGTGGGGGGGATAGTGTCCCATCATTGGTGTCAGTGGGGGAAGGAATAGTGTTCCATCGTTGGTCAGTGGGGGGGGGGGAGTGGTGCCCCATCGTTGGTGTCGGTGGGGGGGAGGAATAGTGCCCCATCATTGGTGTCAGTTGGGGGTGGAATAGTGCCCCATCATTGGTATCAATGGGAGGAATAGTGCCCCATCATTGGTGTCAGTGGGGGGGGGGGAATAGTGCCCCATCATTGGTGTCAGTGGGGGGTGGAATAGTGCCCCATCATTGGTGTCAGTGGGAGGAATAGTGCCCCATCATTGGTATCAGTGGGAGGAATAGTGCCCCATCATTGGTGTCAGTGGGAGGAATAGTGCCCCATCATTGGTATCAGTGGGAGGAATAGTGCCCCATCATTGGTATGTCAGTGGGAGGAATAGTGCCCCATCATTGGTGTCAGTGGGAGGAATAGTGCCCCATCATTGGTATCAGTGGGAGGAATAGTGCCCCATCATTGGTATCAGTGGGAGGAATAGTGCCCCATCATTGGTATCAGTGGGAGGAATAGTGCCCCATCATTGGTATCAGTGGGAGGAATAGTGCCCCATCATTGGTGTCAGTGGGAGGAATAGTGCCCCATCATTGGTGTCAGTGGGGGAAGGAATAGTGCCCCATCATTGGTGTCAGTGGGGGAGGAATAGTGCCCCATCGTTGGTGTCATTAGTATAAGTGACACCATCATGATGGGGGGGGACTAGTGTTCCTCCAGTGACACCAATGACACGTAACTTGCTGACCCCTGTTCCAGCATGGTGCTGTTGCAGCCAGCATACCTGGTTGCAGCAGCACCATCTGCATGGCACACTTACCTGTCAGCTGTCCTTCTTCACTCCGGCCTCTCCCTCACTCGATATTCGCAGGGGCCGCTCAGCTCCGCCTCCTCGCAGGTGATTGGCTGCCTGTGTGCCTTTCCTGAGCTACAGTTCTGGTGCCCAATCACCGGTGAGGAGGCGGAGCCGAGTGGCAGGAGTGAGGGAGTGGCCGGAGTGAATGAAGGAGCAGCGCTTCCTGGACTGGATTGTCTTGGTACTGGGACGGAGCCAGGTAAGGTACAGCAGCCCCCTGCCCGCCCCTGTACTTAGTGTCCCTTCCTGTCCCGCCCCTGCCGGCGGGCCGGATAAATGGCCTTGGCGGGCCGCATGTGGCCCACGGGCCGTAGTTTGAGGACCCCTGCCCTAGTAAACCAGTACTCAGCCAACACAATACACATAGTTAGGCACACAGTTAAAGCTAAAGGTTCTTATTTTTTCTTTTGTAAAATAACAAACATCTGTACTTACCTGTGTGCGGTGGTTTTGCACAGAGCAGCCCGGATCCTCCTCTTCTCAGGTCTAAGGGGCAGCACAGTGGATAAATGTAAACCTTTGCACACCTTTTTTGTTTATGAACATAGAATGAATTTAGCTGATTTTAGCTGATTTAGCTGAAAGTTTAATTTGGCTTTAAGGATTCTGATGTTACAGGTAACAACCGCACATATTTTCTTTTCTTTTTTTTCATAATTTTAATAAATCAGACCCCTAAATAAATGTATGATACTGAAAGATGATGATTGGTAGAAGGTAAAAACAATATTATGAGACCTTACAGTGATAGTTTTTCATTATAACTTGTTACCAGTTTTGGCATTGCAGAGATTCTTACCGGGATCTTCTTTACTGAAAGAGATCACACACAGTATATAACAGGTTATATGAGATACAGAAATGATCAGCAGATATCACAAGATATAGTAATACATAAAGGAGACAACACACGATAAAATAGGATAGATTTGTAATAAATATTGTACATGATTTGCATTTGTTTCATATAGATTGTCCAGATGTCAGTTTCTTTACTACTTTAAATCTGAATTCGGGGCAAAAAAAAATGTCATTGAAATCTATCCCTCAATAGCAAAAAGGATGTGAAGTGAATAGGCAAAAATACAGGAGGGGGTGGAGACCAGACCAGTCCCCCCAGAAGGAAAGAAATCAGCAGTGACCGGTCTTAATTACAAGAAGAGGTGGGAGTGGGGTGCTGGATCCAGCACTTTAGCTGGCAGCTGAGAAATCTTATTAAAAGCTGAAAAGTCTAGGTTTAGCAGTACTATTTCCAAAATGGGTGTCCCTCCTGGAGATGGGGGAGGGGGTCACCCAGCTTGAGAAGTCCATTGCTAGAAGTAGCCTCAAACACATGTGCTGGATGTCCAGAAATATAATTTATTGATTCCACAAATGGCCAAAAGACAAGAAATGAATCCCAACATGTTTCAGAGGTAACCCCTCCCCCTTCCCTTCATCAGGGCTTAGCAATTGACAATGTAGCAAATATCTCAGTAGAACTGTACAGGGTTAGTACAGGGTGCCTATGGTAAGCAGATGTGCTATATGGCTTCCCAGCACAGACACACACCTCCTCCTGGTTCTAATTGATTTATCCGGGCTCTCAACTTTCAGTCCATTAGCTACGGGCACAATTGCTAAGCCCTGAGGGACCTAAGGGGGGTTATTTGGCCCCTGAAATGTGTTTGATGCCATTTGTTGTCTTTTGGCCATCTCTGGAATCAATAAATCACATGTCTGGACCCCCCAATACATGTGTTTGGTGCGTATTCAGTCTCTACTACAGGAAGCT